AGCCCATGCTGACCTCAAACTTGTAGTTATCCTCCTGCCTCAGCCTCCTGAGTGCTGGGACTACAGGTGTGCACTACCATGCCCAGCTATCACAAGGAAATATTGAGAGGTACATTCAAAGAATTACATACATAGGGGCCGGGGATTTAGCTCAGTGGTTTCACCGCCTGCTGTGCAAGCGCAAGGACCCGAGTTCGATCTCTGGTACCAAAAAAAAAAGAATTATATACATATAAGGTGCTCATTAAAGCCTTATTACCATAATAAAAATCAGAAACAACCTAAATAATTGATTATATGAAACCTTTTAAAAAGTATATTACCTTTAAGTTAGAAAGATTGGCCCTGCTGTAAATATCAGAAACCCACAATAATTGTGGTAGGAGATAGTTCACTGAGATGGTGTGATAGGTCACTCCCCAGAGTCCTTGGCACCTCAGTTCCTTTTTCTGTCACTCTGTTCTGTCTTTCATACCTAAGGTTACTTTATAGACCAAAATGGGTACTCCAATTCTAGTCAGGATATACAAATTCCAGCCTTTGAGAAGAGGGGCTGGGAAAAGAAGGGTAGGGGAAGTGCTGGCCAAACAAAAATGGGCAAGGTTCATCTCCTAAGGAACAGTCCAAAGGTTGACTCACAACACTCCTGTTTATGTTCTGCCAACATAGTTATCAAAAAGCATTGTTAATCTGTTAGAGAAGATAGAAACTATGCAATGGTTATTACTTAGACATAGTGCTTGCACTGATTAGGGCTGAACTTTAGGCAAAGGACAACTCAGGTAGTTGGTCAGAAAGGAGTCACTTTTTCTACATTTATCTGCTTGAAATTTTCCAGTTTTATATTTCATAAAATATAAAGTTTTGTTTTCTTATGTTGAGGGGAAGAAGTCCCATTGGGATGTTTTGCAACTCCTGCCCAAATTCATATACTTTTTTTTTTTTTTCTGAGAGAGGATCTCACTATGTAGTCCAAACTGGCCTTGAACTCACTGTGTAGCCCAGGCTAGCCTCAAATTTGTGGTAATCCTCCTGTCTGAGACTCCCAAGTGCTGGGATTACAGGCATGCACCACCACACCGGCTCAGTTCATATACTTTTTACTCTTAATCTGTTGTATAAAGTTGCTGCCTTCCAACCTACCACTTGGACACTACCAGAGGCTGATATAACTGCCTTTGTCTCAGTCAAATAGAGGATATTTCCATCAACCAATTAGTGCTTATTAAACCCTCTAATGAAATGCCTGGCACATGATAGAAGCACAATTACTTACTGTTATTCATTTAAATAAACTGATCTTTGACTTAAATTGTGCCAGATACCACATAAGAAACAAGACTGTTCTCTTATTTTGACTTTAGGTAAGGAGATACTCAAAATAATAGAGAACAGTAGAAACAGTAGAATACTATTCTCATTAGGTGCTAAGTGGAGTAGTGTAGGCCATAGTTGGTAGAGAAGTTCAGTTAAGGTTAAATACAGGGAAGGTATCTAGTAAAGAATTCAGCCTTAGGCCGGGGATTTAGCTCAGCGGTGCCACTGCCTACCTCCCCAGCAGAAGGTTCCGAGTTTGATCTCCGATACCAAAAAAAAAAAATTCAGCCTTACCAAGGTTCTATCCTTGGCTTCTGGAGGTGATCTGTGTCATACCTGATGGCTGTCTCTCTCTCTCTTCCCTCTCCCTCTGCCTTTCTCTCTTTATTTCAGTATTAGAGATTGAACCCAGATCCTCCTGCAAACTACCAACCCCTACATTTAAAAAATTTTTATTTAAAGGGCCGGGGATTTAGCTCAGTGGCTCCACGCCTGCCTTGCAAGCACAAGGTCCTGAGTTTGATCCCCGGTACCACAAAAAAATAAAATAAATAAAATTTATTTTGAGATAAAGTCTCATTAAGTTGCCCAGTATGGCCTTGGACTTGTGATCCTTCTGCCTCACCTGAGTATCTGAGATTACAGATGTGCACCATCATGCCCACCTGGACTTTGGCTAATTTTAATCTGTATCGTTTCTCTGAAATTAAACTGTAACCATACATAGGACAGCTTTCAGTGAGGGCTATGCAAATTGTGGAACCTGAGGGTGATCTGGGGAACCCTTGAACTTGTAATTGGTGTCAAAAAGGAGGGCAGGATAGGGGGCTGGGCCCTCTAAACTTTCAAGTGGGCCTAAATCCCTTGCAGAAGGCTTTATGGAGCAGATAGCACCGAAGGCGAGCCCTGGAAAATGAGATAGTGGAAGAGGTAGAAAGAAGAGCTGGGAAGAATCTCAAGTGATCAGAAGCCAGAGGCAAGCATTCTGTATGAAAAGGAGAATCCCAGTGTATTGAACAGAAGGTTCTGTTTTCCTGACTTCAGTATCTTCATTTTTCTGAAAATGTTGGTCACATCAGAGTTACATCACTGACAGACTTGCAGAAAGGTTGCACAAGAAATTTTGGAGAGAACAACCACATATGTTCAGCCTATCTTTTTGCTTTGTTTTGGTACCGAGGTTCGAACTTGAGACCTTGGGTTTTTTAGACAGGTAGCGGAACCACTGAGCTAAATCCCCAGCCCTGTTCAGCCTATCTTTAGGGTCACAAACCAGCAGCTACTGAAACACACTCACCTAAAAATCAATCAACATTATTTCCAATAAGAATGGATAATATCTCCCATCCTTGGATATGATAGGAAAATAGTGAGGAAAATATTACAAAATAATAATGGGAAAAACAGTACTTAATGAATTCCTCCTATGTACCAGTTACTATGCTAAGTGTGAAGTACAATGTAATAGAAAAATACTGAAGTATCAATAGATCATCAGTAGATATTGGGAGCTTGATTGAGTGCTGGTAAAGTAATAAAAGCCCGCTTTTGACCATCCTAACACTGCTTACTATTCAAGACCTCTATCCTTTCCTAAAAATCTATGACCAGTCTTAAACTCACTCAGAAACTGTTTACAGGGCTGGAGATGTAGCTTAGTGCTAGACCTCTTGCCTAATATGTGCAAGGAAGAGGGAAGGGGGTGGGGGAGAAAGTGATTACAACCTCAAGATGCTTACTTAAACATTAAATCTGAATCTGTAAATTAGAAGAAAACTCCTTGGCAGTAATTTTATCAACAAAATTCCAAAAGCACAGACAATGAAAGCAAAAATAAACATTTAAAACTACATAAAACTAAAAAGCTTTTGTACAACAGTCAGAAAATGAAAAGGTAAGCTACAGAATAGGAGAAAATATTTGTGAAACACACCCAACAGAGGACTAATATCCAAATATATTAACTTACACAAGTCAATACCAAAAAAAAAAAAAGTAGGCAAAGGACTTGAATAGACATTTTTTCCAAAGAAGATATACAAATGGCCAACAGGTATATGAAAAAGTGCTCAACATCACTAATAATCAAAGAAATACAAATCAAAACCACAATGAACTATCACTAAACCTGTTAAAATGGCTGTTATCAAAATGTCAAATAGTAGTCAGGTGTGGGGGCACAGACCTATAATCCCAGCTGCTTGGGAGCCTGAGGCAGAAGGATTGTAAATTCAAGCCCAGCCTGAAAAATTGAATGACTTGGTGAGACCCTATCTCAAAACTAAATATAATACAATGAAATAAAATGGGTTGGGGATGTAGCTCAGTGCAAAGGCCCTAGGTTCAATCTCTAGTACTGCCAAAAGGAAATCTGGGTGTGATCACCTATGCCTGTAATCCCAATACTTTGGGGGGGTGCTGAGGCAGGAGGATCATAGGTCTGAGTCTAGCCTGAGCAACTTAGCAAGACCTTGTCTCAAAATACAAAATAAAAAAGGGGCTGGAGATGTAGCTTAGTGTGAAGTCCCTGGGTTCAGTCCCCAGTATCACAAAGAAGTGGGGTGCATGGAGAGAGAGAGAGAGAAGGGAAGAGAGAGGGAGGAGGGAAGAGAGACAGGTTTCCTCACTATCAGGGAATGAAGCCACCAAAAGAAAGGGGCAGAGCACTGTTTGTTCCTTTGTACCTTGCTCGAGTGAGCTTGTCTCCAATAGCAGACTGCAATTCTCTGAAGAGAAGTGGGCTTCCTGCTCTTAGGGATTCATCTTTCAGCACTCAGAACTAAGAATTAGTAGGCTTAGCCAACTTTTCTCCTTTCTCTCTTTCTCTCTCTCTCTCTCTCTCTCTCTTTTTCTCTCTCTCTCCTCTCTTCTCACCATGTAGGTCAGGTTGGCCTTGAATGCACTATGTAGTCCAGGCTGGCCTTCAACTTTCAGTGATCCTTCTGCCTCAGCCTCCCAAGTGCTGGGATTACAGAGATGTGCCACCATGTCCAGCAATCCTTCTCATTCTTGTGTGCTAAAATTCTGTGAAAATATGACCATGACTTCCAAAGTACTACCCTGATACATTTATATAGCTCTCCGAGCTGGGAACATATGTGTGGTTGTTGTCATCCTGAGGTACTTCCACTGGTTCCTGTATTCCTAGTTTTCCTTTACCATCAGAGCTTAGCAGGCCATGTTTTATATTCCATTTCCAGGGATGAAAGTGGGGCTTCATACTAGTCCTACTTTCTCCTGAGCCCTTCCTCTGCTTGCTGAGCTGTCTGTCTTGCTTACTATAGAAGCATCCTTAGACTCATAGGACCATGGGGAGAAAAAAAAAAGCCAGGTGTGGTGGCATACACCTGTCATCCCAGCACTCAGGAGACTGAGGTAGGAAAATCCCAAGTTTGAGTCCTGCCTGGATAACTTAAAAAGGCTGGGTATGTAGATCAGTGCAAAGGCCCTGTGTTCAATACCCAGTCCTGTGGGGAAAAAGAAGACTGAATAATAAATTGTGCATTGATTTCTAGATGTTTCATGTTTGTAAATCTTATCTCTTTAATTGAAATCTGAGGACCTTAAAGGTAGGGAAACCCCAACCCCAAATATAACTGCCACAAAACTGGGCACATACTATTGAAGTTTAGAGGAAGGATGTACCTGATAAAAGGTGTTCAAGTTGTGTTTCTTGCTTGCAGGGATTTCCCAGATGACCCAGGAGTGCAGTGGGATACGGAGCACGTGGCTAGTGTCCTCCTCCAGCACATAAAAGTCAATGGCATCAACTTGGTAAGGGGACGAATCCCTCATTAGAAAGCCCGGGTCCCCAACCCATCACCTTGGTTGGTTTCAGCAGCTTTTCCTATGGCTGGCCTCCCACATCCAGTCCTACTCAAGGAACAAACACACCTGTTTTTTTGTTTTTTTTTCTTTAAGTACTGGGGATTGAACACAGGGCTATGCACTGAGCTATATCCCCAGTTCTTTTTTATTTTTTATTTTGAAACAGGGCTAAGTCACTCAGGCTGGGCTGGAACTTGTGATCCTCCTGCCTCAAACTCCCAAGTATGCTGTACTACACTCAGCTAAAACATACCTTTTAATTGCCTTTTAGATCTTTTGTAAGACTGAATAATCAATGCTTAGGTACAGACAGAATATTTTTGCAAACTATGTCCCTCCTTCCTTCACCTCTGTCCTGCAGGATCCTATGCTATGACTCTCATTTGTATAGAACTATACCTCGTACTATGCATTTTCACATTTAGAGTATTATTTTCTGTTTAGAGGAAACAGAGGTTCCCAGAGCCTGAACAGTTTGTCCAAAGTAGGCAAGTAGTGAAGCTGGATTCTAAAAAAAGAATTTTGGGGTGCCCAGGACCTTGCACATATTAAGCATGTGCTCTACCACTGAACCACACTGACAGCCTCAAAGCTAGGGTTTTAAGCCTCAATTCTCACTCATAAAAACATGAGGGTAATTTCAGACCTACTCCAGAAAGAAAATTTCAGTCACAATTAGAGCAATAGCAGATGTTCATATTTACTTGGAAAGGTGGACAGGTTTAGCAATACTCATCTCAGCACTACTAGGATTTAGCAAGTCTAGACTTAGCCTGTGGTTGATTTTAAAGCTGCTAAGAAGGCTTACTATCTAAATCTCAAAATAACAACAACAACAACAACAACAATAGCAATCTTTCCTGGGTTAATACCATTTAAAACCCTTCTCCATTAAGTTTTGGTTAATCTTCATTAAAAGATGACTCTTGCTTTTAACAATGATGAACTCATTGACTGAATTATTAGACTTTTTATAGCAAAACATTTATTGGTACATTTTAGGTATACATAATGATAACACTCATCATAGAGTCTTTTTTCTTTTTGGTTTTATTTATTTATTTTGGTACTGGGGATCGAACTCAGGTCCTTGCGCTTGCGCAGCAGGCAGCGAAACCACTGAGCTAAATCCCCGGTCCTATCATTCTTTTTTTTCTTTTTTGGTACCAGGGATTGAACTCGGGTCCTTCCACTTGCGCAGCAGGCGACAAAACCACTGAGCTAAATCCCTGGCCCTCTTTTTGGTTTTTTGAGACAAAGTCTCACTATGTAGTTCAGGTTGGCCTTGAACTATGTATCCCAGGCTGGTCTTGAACTTGTGATCCTCCTGCCTCAGCCTCCCTAGTGCTGGTTCTACAGGCATGCTCCAACACACATGGCTTTAGACCTTTCTTAAGAGAGGATCTGCACCGATACATTAATCAGTCTGTTTTCTAATGGTAAAAATACAACAGAAATTTAGTACACACAGACAAAAAGGTGCACCTCACTGCTCACTCTGAGTCACGTCAAGGTTGAGATGCAGGTGGGCCCCAAAGGCCTTGACCCTGCTGGACTCTTCTATTCCATCTCTTTTTTTACTTTCTTCCTTTTCCTAGATGGAAAAATGGTTTTTAAGTTTGCAGGCCCACACATCCTGCTTTCCCTTCCCAGAAGATCTGACCAGGAAAGCAGTAGGATTACATCCATGAGTTTAGGAGTCTGACTGGGGCTGGCCTTGGCCCTTTTATCCATCCTGCCTCATTCTCCCACAGTCAAGACATCTCAGGGCTCCACAGACCAGCTGTGCAGACAGAGCTGCTCTTCAGGGACAGCCTGAAGTCTTCTTGTCACCTCAGTTCTCTTGTGGTAGTGGCTTCCCCAGGACCAGTTCCCAAATCCTCCTTTCCTCCCCCACTTCAGGGCTTTAACAGGTATTGTTCTCCCCAGTCATTTGTGCTTACAGGATAAACTCTCATCTTTTTAAACTTGGAATTCAAAGCTGTCCTTGATCTGGTCCCCACTTTAGGGCTGAACACTGGCGACAGCCAGGTTTACTTTTCAGACCACATTGTGACTGATCTGGGCCTTGAATATCTAGGGGGGCACTTCAAGCCAAGCTGCTCTGCATACCTTTTTTAATCTCAGAAGAGTCTTTCACGTTTGGGTCTCAGAAAAGTGATTTGTGGCCCAGGCCCACCTCAAGAACTCCTTCTCCAAGAAGGGTTCCCTGACTTCTTCAGCCCTTTGGGGGATTTTCACAGTATTTGCTATGTGTGCTGTGCATGTGGCAGGTGTTGCTGTTTACCCTTTAAGGTGCAGACCATGTCTTACAAACTAGACTGTAAGATCTGTGAAGGCCAGGACTGTGCCTGACATCTTTACATCTACAGATTCAGAACAGAGCCTTGGAGAGTGCTCCTCCCAAAACTGCCACCTTTCTGCCTGGAGGACTTTCCTGAATGTGTGTGGGGCAGTTAACATTCATTCAAGTGAGTGACAAGGCCTTTATTGACAAGTGAATCCTGAATTGATTTAACTACTCTCAGTAAAAAAATCACTTTACAATACCACTTTATTAATAAATTACTTGCAACACATCCTACTGCTCATAAGGAAATACAGGTTATCACAGTACAGTTGGGAATGCTTTCTCTGACCTATACTTATTCAACCACAGTAGAAGTGCAGGATCATGTTAACACTGTGAGCAGTGTGGCCATAAGTTGCTGTAAAGGAGCTAAATATGGGTTTCCATTCAACTTCCTGTATCACAGTTAAAATGCACTTTTACATAGAACAGTCCCTGCAGCGTTGGAACTGAGGCAGGTGAGAAGTCATTCAGCGGCAGAATACTGTACCAGGCTGAGAGCATGAATCTTGCAAGTCTCCAGGTACTCCATTCAGACTGGAAGTACTGAGTACACATTGAGAGATGGTGAAGTACAAATAACAAAGAATAAATAGAACTGGAGAGCACAGAGCTGAGTCACAAGAAGAGTTTTATCACCTGGGCCATGCCAGAATGAGATACTAAGCACACTTCTTTGCCCAAGCTGGCTTGGCAGCCATCAGAATAGTGTGATGGCAGGAAATTGGGTTCCACCTGGTCCCATGTCTGCCGTATCCTTTCAAGCTGTCTATCCTATTCCCTACAGTAGCATCATGAGACCAACAAGGACAGGACAGGGCTTTAGAAAGTACAAAGCTGCCCTCTACAGAAAGCAGAGTAGGAGTTGGTAGTGTCTTCTTTGGATGTCAGGCAGGCTAGGTCTTAGGCCCTAAGCCTTGCCTCAATCTTTCATTCAAAAACCTAGTTGTTGAACACCTACTGTAGGACATTTACTATGTGTTGAGAATTGGAAATGCAGCAGCAAGCCAAACATACCTAATCCTTGCTCCCTTACAGCAAGATGTCTCAACTGTGGCACTACTGACATTTGGGGTGGACAAATCCTTGATGTGGGGACTGTCCTATGCATTGTAGAATGTTTAGTAGCAAGACCTCTCCTCAGTTGTCATAATAAAAATATTTCCAAAGATTGCCAAATATCTGTGGGAAAAACCATCCTCAGATAAGAACCAATGTCTTAGAAACCAAAGTGCCCTACAGGTTCCCTGCTGCTGTCTCTCTATCTGACTGTCCGTCTATCTCTTTCTCTTTCCCTTTTTGCAGTGCTGGTGACTGAAGCCAGGGCATTCACACTGACTGCTTATAGTTTTTCATGTGGTCTAATTTTATCTTCAGCAATCTATCAAGAAAAGTACGACAGTGTTACTTTCTTGATATCACACAGGAGGGAGCCAAGACATTCCAAGTAGAAATAACTTTTGATAATATAGTTCTGTAGCTTGCCCAAGGTGCTGCAGGTGATTAGTGTCAGGATGACTAGACTTAGCCCTCCCCTATTTGTGTTTCATGGAAGACCTAGGATCAGCACTGGATATCTGAGTTATATGATTAGCATTTTTATACTTTTTTGGTTGTTTTGTTCCATTTTTCCAGTACTGGGGATTGAACCCAGGGCCTTTGAACTGAACTACACTCCTGGCTCTATTTTATATTTTTATTCTGAGATAGGGTCTCACTAAGTCACTGAGTTGCCCAGGCTGGGCTGGAACTTGTGATTCTCCTACTTCAGTCTCCCAGAATCCTGAGATTAGAGGTGTATGCCACCATGCCCAACTTTCATAGGCTATATTTTAGAGCTGTTTTAGATAATATTTCATAGGATCATTTTGAGAAACAAGTGAGATAATGAGTGGGAGAAAGTTCTACTAAAGATAACACCCTATATTAGGTATCATTATTCCTATTGATAGTCTTTGGAAGACCAGGAGTTAATTGTAAGGTGGGTTGGCCTACAATCCAAGAGGAGGAAAGGAGACAAGATTAAGCTCAGGTGGGACTATCACATTGCAAAATGGACATACTGCAACAAATATGCCTTTGTATTTATATATAAGACTTTAGAAATACATCAATGAAGGAGGATTTGGACCTGTGAATTGCTGAAGAGGAAGACTGTCCCTTAAAAGTGAACAGAAATAGGTGTTGAGCTGGGAGTGTAGGTAAAGCACTTGCCTTCGGTAGCATGCTGGATGCCCTGGGTTCTGTCCCCAATACGGAAGGACGAAGAGGAAGGAGGGAGAGCAAGCAGGAGGGATAGAAGGATGAAAGGAAGAAAGAGATGGGTGTTGAGCACTCTGGTGTGAGCAGGAACATGACCAATCCTGGACCATGATGTAAATGACATTGCTACATCCCAAATGGTCCCTCCCTATTATTTTTCCCCTTATATTAGATTCCTGTGGTTGCTGCAACAAATTATCACAAATTTAGTGGCTTAGAAGAACACAGATTTATTGTTTTACTTTTCTGGAATTCAGAAGTCCAAAAATCGATTTCATTGAGCTAAAGTCAAGGTGTTGGCAAGTCTGGTTCCTTCTGAAGGCACTGAGGGGAAAATTTACTTCCTTACCATTTTCAGCTTTTCTCTATCACTGTATTTCTTGGCTTATGAGCCCTTCTCCATCTTCAAAGCTTATCATGCCAATTTGTGCTTCTGTTGGCACATGTCCTTCTTCTCTGACCCTCCTGTGTCCCTCTTATAAGGATCATTGATGTTACCTTTGGATCCACTAGCTAATGCAGAATAATGTCTCCATCTCAAAATCCTTAATTTAATCCATTTGTAAAGTCTCTTTTGCCATGTGAGGTAACATTCAGAGGTTCCAGGGACTAGGACATATTTGGGGGATAATTATTCAGCCTACCAGGAAATCTTACTCCAGAGGCCTTATTCACACTGAGGTGGCAGAGACTGATAACAATTCTCGGATAACTTGTCCTTTAATGGGGACCTGAGTTTTACATTGAAGGATTGAGATTCTCAGGGTGACAGTTAAGAAATCTGCTGGTAGTTGGCAGAGATGGAAGCACATGGTTCTAATAGTAGACTCACTCTTAATCAAGACTGGTTCTGGGGAAACTTTTCTATGTAGAATACTTGATTCCTGGGGAACATTTCAATAATGGCAGGAAACAAAAAAGGAAGGGAGAGGGGCTTTGCCAGAGAGCTTCTCAGTTTTAAGGGATGTAGCCACTCCCCTGGCAGAACTCTTCCCTGTTATCAGAAGATCTCTTGAGATTTCCCCATGGATATCTGAGGCCTAGGAAATTTACCAATGAATTATCTTCACCTGAGTTGGTACTAATTCTTGATAGTGTTCCCAAAGAATAATTCTCAAATCTCAGAACCTCCTCCCAGTGAGCAGTCAACATGTCTTACAGTTTTAACTAGAAAGACCAAGAATGAATCCCTTCCCAGCCTTCCAATCTCTGTTCTAAGTCCCTTCATCCATGCTGTGTCACTATCTTTCCTTGGGAAAGTCTGCTACTTTCTTTTTTTTTTGGTACTGGAGATCGAACTTGGGTCCTTGCGCTTGGGAGGCAGGCGCCAGAACCACTGAGCTAAATCCCTGGCCCAAGTCTGCTACTTTCTATTACCTCCTAACTGTCCTATTCCTTTTCCTGAGTCTTTGTTTACTTTTTTATATTTCTTTATTATTCAGGCTGGTTTTTTTTGTTTTCTTAAATTCTTTTATTGGTACATTGTAGGTATACAACACAATTACATTTCTCATTGGGAACTTGTACCTTTACATAATGCATCTTGGTTCTTATTTTTTCCCCATTCCTAGCCCTCCCTTCACACCCTCCACCCTTCCCTATTTACAAAGACTTTATTTCCATTTTTTCCATTTCTCATCATTTTTCCTTTCCCTTCTTTCCTTTCCCCTGCCCCTCCCACTACCCCTACCCCTTTGGACCTTTTCTTCCTATTTTACATTTTCGATTATTCATTCTAATCATTGGTACATTTTAGGTATACAATATAATAACATTCATCATTGGAAATTTGAACCTTTACATAGTCTCTCTTGGTTCTTATTTTTCACCCTTGCCCAGCTCTCCGTTCAACCCCTCCATTCCTCCCTATTTACAAAGATTTTGTTCCTATTTTTCCATTTTCTCATATTAATCCCATTCCCTTCTATCCTTTCCTCTAGCCCTCCCACTTCCTTCCCCTTTGCCCCTTTTCTTCCTGTTTCACATTACCTATTATACATTTTAGTCCCCATTTACACTTTCAGTTTCTCACACTAGAGAAACTATTTGGTATTTATACATGTGTGTCCTATTTATTTCACTTAAAAGTATCACCTCAATGTGCATCCATTTAGCTATAAATGTCTCCAATTTCTCCTTTTTTATGGCTGAGTAGTACTCCATTTTATAAAAAAACCACATTTTCTTGATCCAGTCTCCAATTGATGGGCATGTGGGCTGTTTCCAAGTTTTAGCTATCACAAACTGTGCTGCTATGAACATGGGTGCACATATATCACTGTGGTATGATTCTTTTAATTCTTTGGGGAAGATCCCCAGCAGTGGAATAGCTGGGTCAAATGGGACTTCTAGTCCTAGTTCTTTGAGGTATCTCCATACTGATTTCCACAGTGGTTGCACCAGTCTACACTCCCACCAGCAGTGGAGCAGGGTTCCTCTTTCCCCACAGCCCTGTCAGCATTTGTTATTGGTTGATTTCATGATAGCAGTCAGGCTGTTTTTTAATTGTCATTATTCAAATAATCCTTTGGTCTTTTTAATCCATCTATGCCAAAAAAAATGTTAAGTCCTAGACTAAACTTGTAGTTAGTAAACTAATGTTCACATATCTGTGAAAATAGAAGCAAGGCAGTCTATGAACAGATACGGTTTTTCCATGAACTCAACCCCAGGACACAGTGGTCTTTGGCCTATAAAGCTTTTGTGCCTCTGGTATGCCAAGAGGAAGAGTCCAAATAAATCAGGCAGCACCTACCTGAACAAAGTTCACATTGCAGCCAGCTAGAAAAATTAAATGTGCTAATAAATAGCCAAGCAGATAAGCAACAAAGATATTTTGAACGAAGTTTCTGTCATGGCTGAATAACACTCTGCTCCACTGGCCAGGAATAAGAGTGAACAGTAAACCCATGGAAACCATCTTCATGTTAAAATCATCCAGGCCAATAGTCACACACCATTGATCTGCTCAGGAGTCAGTTCAGATATCGTCAGAATCTGAAAAGTTTCAGGGCTCCTCTGTCTCCTTCTGTTCCCAAGGGAATGGCAGAAGCTTCTCTGAAGCTGAGCCAGTAGAGAAAGTGAGTGAAAAATCCTGTCTCTCTCTACAGGTGGTGACTTTCGATGCAGGAGGAGTCAGTGGTCACAGCAATCACGTTGCTCTGTATGCAGCTGTGAGGTATGTTTTCTGGGTGATGGAGGTGGAAGAGGGTTTGCCCTTTTGCTTAAAGGTCACAGTTGCTAAAGCACTTTCCCCCTGGATATCTGAGGCCTAGGAAATTTACCAATGAATCATCATACAGCCATTGTTGGCTGTGTCGCTCACTACATCTCACCACATCATCTCTGTGAGAAATCTCTCACAAGTCTCCTAATGTTCACCTCCTAAGCAGCTGATTTTTTTAGCCCCTGGAAATGGCAAATGAAATAATTGGTTTTATTTCTCCCTTTACTTTGGATATAGAAAGCTTCTGGGCCAATTTTGCAACTCCTATAGCACACGGGTAAGACTTCAAAGAGCAGGGCATGATGGTGCATGCCTGTAGCCCCAGCACTCAGGAGGGTGAGGCAGGAGGATCACTGCAAGCTTGAGGCCAGCCTGGACTACAGAGTGAGTTCAAGGCCAGCCAAAACTACAAAGTAAGACCCAGTCTCAAAAAACAAACAAATGAACAAAAAGACTTCAAAGAATGAGCTCTGTGTATCAGTATGTCCTCTGGCTTCATCTTCTTCCTCTTTACTCTCATTTTTATTTTATTTTGCTATCCTCCATTATGAATTTTGTACATTACCTCCAGTCTTTCTTTGGAGAAGGGCATAACATATAATATGAAATCTCATTTGTTCATCATAGCCACCGTATTTTACTGATATTTCTCTTCACTTTACCAATAAAACCAAAATGGAACCTCAACAATTCTGAGCAACTTAGGGTCATACAAACACAATCTTTCCTGTCTCCTGGGACCCAGATCAGCAGTGTGCTGGGCCTTTCCTGGCTACTGAGAATGGAAAGGGGCAAGTGGATATGAAAGTCTCATTGTATAATCTTCCAATGCACTCAAAAGTCTCAGACTGGACCAGTGAAATATGTGAAGCTGTAAATGACCACCTCTCCAGTCCTCGCCTTGTTTGACTGGGGCCATGAAGGGATGTGCCCAGCACTACAAGGTTCAGCAGTGGCAGAGGCAGAACCAGAATCTCATTCTTCTGTCACATACTTGTGAAGGCAGATCCAACCTGAGGACCCTCCAGCCTTGTCCTTAAATTGTACATCACTGAGTGGAAGATGCAGAAATCATTACCCACATACTCTGTCCAGATAGTGCTCCCCGATTCCTTAACTGTGGAATGAGAGGAGACCAGACTGCTCTCTCGTCCTATAAAGACTGGTGACTTCCTGACCAGCCAGAGGTCACAGTTATAGAGATCTGTTGTGAGATACATTAGGTCCATTCAGATTCAGAAACGACACATTTTCCAGCTGCAGTCAATCTTTTTTTTTTTTTCCAGTACCAGGGAGCGAACCCAAGACCTTGCACTTTCAAGGAAGGTGTGTTGCCACTGAGCTAAATCCCAGGCCTTGCAGTCAATCTTCTGTGATTTTTTTGTTGTTGTTGTTGAGACTAGATCTTGCTGTGTAACCTACGCTGATGGTGATCCTCCTGCCTCAGCCTCCTGAAAACTGAGACCACAGGTGTGCCCCACCACACCCAGCTTGTGATTTTGTAATTTATAGTTTGCAGTGTTTCTGTGATGATATATGGAAAAGTAAGGCAGCCCAGAAGTAGTCTTTCTAACCATGTGGTTACATTGGGTCCTTGGGCTCTCAGGACAGTCATAAACAGCAAGCTAAACTTGTGACTTTTTTTTTTTTTGGTACTGGGGATCGAACTTGAGTCCTTGCACTCGCGAGGCAGGCGGCAGAACCACTGAGCTAAATCCCCGGCCCACTTGTGACTTTTTTAAACCAACTATTCACACTATATCAGATAACGGATCCAATCAGGTATTCTGCAAACAAACTAAGATCACCATAACAGGCAGGATTGTCAGAGCTCTGAGGTTGTTTTAGCTTGTTCCATCCCTGGTCCAGTCTCCACTGAAGTGAGGAAATAAGGGAAGGCTCCATTCCAGTAGAGAACTCACCCAGGGGAGCCACTTTCTGTAAGCAGAACTGCCTGGGGCCATTTTTCTCAAGAGGGAGGAGTACCACAGGCTCTCCATACTTCCATGTCCTCTCTACACTAATGGGGCCATTGCACTTCATATAAAAACAATTTATGGTCATGCTCACCATCTTCTAAATCTTTTCTCCACAGTCACTCTTGCCTGTTAAATTCATCAGACTCATTTTAGTCCTCCCCTGCCTTGGCCTTTCTGTGGTACCTGGCTCTGCCTCACACCCACTGAATTGCTGGTTTGATTGCCTGGCACTGGCTGGCCCTCCCCACTCTGACTTTTCTGGCTACCTCTCAGCCCCTTCCTGCCTTCCCCCACCATGGGAGGCAACTCTCTGCCCCACCCCTAGGACTCTATCCATAGCCTTGCTCAGTGAGCGTCCTCATGGCTATAAGGGGTGTCAGTGTGAGTGCCAGATGCAGGCCTGCAGTGGTCACCTCTTCCTGGGTGGATATCCTGATCTCCACAAAGTCAGAGTTCCCACAGCGCAGGACAAGTAATCTCCTCAGGATCCCAGAGACCTTTCTCAGGTTTTTCTCCTTCTTGGGTCTGTGCCAGAGTCAGTTCCTTAAGTTGATCAACTCTTTCAACTTCTTTACCCCCTCTGCAAAGAGTCCTTGTTCATATAAGTATGTGTGTCTATGTGTTGGGTCAGGGAGCTCCCCACCCTAATCTTTCTCCCAGGTTTTCAAATAACAAAGTGGGGAAGAAATTTGGAGATCATTGCTGTTGGGTTCATGTCATCCCTCCTCTTAAGGCAGTGATTACAGAATGGCCCTTACTCTCAGAAGGTTGGAGTTGGGGAGGTCAGAAAGGAGAAAGGAAATATCATGGAGAAAATACCATGGAAGAAATATTAATTAATACTTTAAAATATTCTCCTGTCATACATCAGAGAGAAAAACTTTGAAGAGTCCAAGGTAGTTACCTTCAAATCTAACAGGCAAAGCTTGCATGGAGTCCTTGGGTGAGATGCCCACCCAGATTCCTTCGCTGTAGCCAGAAGTATGGAACTCTGGAAATCTAGATGATGATGTGTGCAAAAGAAACCACCTGGGAACCTGTATGAAGGCACCATGGGCTCTCCAGGCCTTCCTCCACCAGCTGCCTTGGAAACACATAAGAGGGGCAATTCTTACCTGCTCTCTTTTCCTTTCTCCCTCCAGGGCTCTGCACTCAGAAGGGAAGTTCCCTAAAGGTAAGGCCTGTCTTTTTGGCAAAAAGCTACTAGTTGCTATCCCTTGTAAAAACTTGAGAGAAATTTGCAAATATTGTTGGCTTTCCATATCCACAAGTTCCACATCCATGGATTCAACAACCACAGATCAAAATTACTCAGGAAAAAAAATTGCATCTGTATTGAATATGTACAGACTCTCTTGTCACTATTCCCTATAGTTTAACAACTATTTACATAGTATTTACATTATGCTAGGTATATAAGTAGCCTAGAGATGTTTTAAAGTGGAAGATGAAGAGGAAGTGTATAGATTCTATACAAATACTATGTAATTTTATATGAGAGACTGAGCATCCATAGATTTTGGTATCTGAGGGGTTTCTGGAATAAATCCCCAAGCAATATTAAACGACAACTGTACAGTACACAGAGAGCTGGCCTAGGTGGAACAGAAGCAAGAGTTGGGAAGGCAGCCTCACTTCCTGACTCAGCTCTGTGTGCCTGTCAGGCCATATCCACTGGAAAGTGCCCTGTCAGAAGGCTGATTCCAGATGTGCTGAGAGGCCAGGCTTGCCCTCACAGCTGTCTAGTTTTCTCACAGGATAGGTCTTTTCAGCCTCTCATGATCTGTCAGCCTGTCCATCTAAACTCACATCCCATCCCCCAACTAATTAGCAAGTACCTGACAGGTGACAGTTGGACTAATCTGTTTGAAACAAAACTCTTCCTAACCCTCAGGCAGGTATTTGATCCCATTTGGCCACTTACTGCATGGGACCCCTGCTTAACACCATTAAGCCTGTGTTTGGTCTGTCTTGCCTCACAGGAGTGATACAAAGATTCGGCAAATGAAAACATAAGCAGTGTGAGCCCTCTCTACATTGGGTTACTGAACTTACCAAGCTGTGTGGTCTTTGGAACATGACTATAATTTATTTCATTCTTATATCAACACTGTTTGTCTTATACTATTATTTTATAGATTAGAAAACTGAGATTCATGAGCTAGGTGCTATGGTGTGCACCTGTAGATCCAGGTACTCTGGAAGCTGAGGCAACTCAGAGGTTCTAGGCCAGCCTGGGCAACATAATGAGACCCATAGTAAGACCCTGTCAGGTTGGAGGAAAGGGGAGAGGGAGAATGGGAGGATGAGAAGAAGGAAGGAGGGAAGGAAGGAAAGAAGGAAAGGAGAGAAAAGAGAGAAAGAAAAGCAAGCAAGCTTGGCATGGTGGCACATGCCCACAATCCCAGAACTTGGCAGGAGGATCTCAGTGGGTTTGAGGCCAACCTGGGCAGCATAAGGAGTTCAAAGCCAGCCTAGACTACATAGAAAGACCCTGTCTCAAAAATAGAAAGAGAGGAAGAAAAGGAGGATTCTATTTGATCCAGCTATTCCCCTTCTAAGTATCTTCCAAGAGTTAAAGATATCATATTACAGAATATATGTACTCTGTTTATAGCAGAATAATTCATAATAGCTAAATCTTGGAAGCAGCCTATATATCCATCAACAGATGAATGGGTAAAGAAAATGTGGTATTTACACACAATGGAGTACTATTCTGCCATAAAGAAAGAGATTTAGGAAAATGGATGCACCTCAAGAGATAATGTTAAGTAAAATAAATCAGACACACAGCCTTAAATATCACATTGTTTCTCTTATATAAGAAACTCAAAGTAAAAATAAAGAGCACAATAAAAGACAGAGAATAGGAAGTATGGAGATAGCTCTTCCTCAAAGGGGAGGGGATCAAGAGATGGAGGAGGGGAGGAAGAGCAGGGAGGGAAAGGGGATGGAAGAAGGAATTGGGGTGTGTTATGTGCATGTGTCAACTCCACACAAGGAGTGTAAACATTATGTAGTAGACATGTTTACTAATAAAAAAAATTTAAATGTTAACCGGAAAAAAAAATAAAAATAAAAATATCTAGATCCTCAAAAGAAAGGATGAGGCAGAGGCAAAGAAAGGAAAGGAGGGAAGGAGGAAGAGGAGAGAAGGAAGGAAAGGAGGGAGGGGGAGGGGAAGGGAAGGGAGTGGAGAGGAGTAGGGAGGGATGAAGGAGGCAGGCAGGCAGATTCAGAGCAGTTAAGGGATTTTATTTTTTTTTGAACTATTGGGGCTTTAACTCAGGGCCTTCACACTGAGCTACATCCTCAGACTTTAAAAAAATTTTTATTTTGAGACAGGTTTCCCAGGCTGTGCTCAAACTTGCAATCCTTCTGCTTCAACCTCCCAGAGTACTGGGATTACAGGTGTGTCCAGCTTCAACTTGGTCAGTTCTTGAGTAACAGAGCTGGAAACAGGTCTATGGCCTCCCATTATAGAAATTCCTGTTTCCTTTGGCCTTGAAATAGCCAGATCTCACTCTAGTCACCTACTTCTTCTTGCTAGAGCAGTAGTGGGTTAGAGGGTGGCCCACCAGAACTTTTGTGGCCCCTTCACCCTTCCTAGCTGTGAGAATGATGGGCAAAGAGCAGCTTTGGTGCCACAGACACCTGGCAACTCCATAGCAATTGGCTTGCTCTTCCCTTGGCCACTGGGGACCAGGGCCTGTGCTCCGGGGAAGATCTGGCTGGGAACAACAAGGCTTTTCTCTCTGTCCCTTCCCCACCCAGGGTGTTCTGTGCTGACGCTTCAGTCTGTGAATGTGCTGCGGAAATACTTCTCCATTCTGGATCTGCCTTGGTCTCTGCTGCAAATGCAGGATGTCCTCTTTGTGCTCACCAGTGAAGAAGTATCACGGGCCAAGGTGAGGACTGTGAATTCCTGACCCTCCCCAATCTGGGCCCCCTGGCTCCTCAAAACCCTGTAGAGGCCCTTCCCAAAGACCTTTCACAGGGGCTCAGCATCTGTCCCTGAATGTAGAATTAAACCAGCTAGAATGTGGGAAGCATAGACTTAAATGACTTTGACCTTTTTATCTGATAAGAATTTTTTTAAAAAAACACTGCTCATTATAGAGCTCACTGCAGAATGAAATATGCTCATTGTAGAAACTTTAGAAATATATGAAAGCGTCAAGAAAATAAGAAATAAAAATCACCTGCAATCCCACTACTCAGAAGTAACTGTTAACATGTTGGGGTATACTCTTCAAATAAATATAATGAGTTATGTATAACTCCTGCTATTTAAAATCTGCTTTAACAAAATATTATAAACATTTTCTTCTGTGTAACTAAGTATTCAAAATGTAATGGCTCCCTAGTATTTCATTGTACAGATGTACCGTAAAATAACTCAGGTATCTTTTATCTTTGGACATTTCAGATTTACCGGTTTTCTACTATATTATACATGGAGCAGTGCTCTCGGCTTGAGTCTAAAAAGAATTCAGACCTGCCAGGACCTTCTGTAGAGAGCCAGTGGGGGCAGCCTGCCATGCCAGTTGAGGAAGGGCAGGCCCACTGAGGCTCTCCTGGTGAAAACTCTTAGCTGGCAGTGGGACAGATGACTCTAAGAACATTGAGTTGGGGAGATGCAGGTTGAGAATTGTTCCAGTTTGTCTTCAGGTACAACAGCCAGTAGACCTAAGTCCACCACAAAGAGAAAGTAACAATGAATAAAACTGAGACCTGCTTTGTTAGAAACTCAAAGATTGGTCTGGGGATTTAGCCAGTGGCACTGCACCTGCCTAATCCCTGGTACCAAAAAACGAAGAAACTCAAAAATAATTTTCCACAATAAACATTTATACCTAAGAGGCACCTACTAGATGCTGAGAATGCATGTTGAGCATAAACATTAAACCTCCTTTTTTTTTTTGGTACCAGGGATTGAACTTGGGATCTTGCGCTTTCGAGGCAGGCAGCAGAACCACTGAGCTAAATCCCTGGCCCAAGCCTCCCCTTTTTTTTTTTTGAGATAGGGTCTCACTATGTAGTTCTGGCTGGCCTTGAACTCACTATGTAGCCTTGAACTTGTGGTGATCCTCCTGCCTCAGCCTGCCAAGTGCTGGATTACAGGTGTGTGTCACCATGGCTAGCCTAGTTTATTAATTTTTGTCCTTTATTATTGTATTTCTCTTCTACTTTATTCATTTATTTTGTTCTCTTTTTTTGCTGTAAAGAGTTAATAGAAATTTAATTGATAACATGACATTAAATTGGTCTTAAAATGCAGAAGGCAGATGATAAAATTGCACTTAATTCTGAAGCAATTCGGATCTATCCTATGCTCTTACACCTTCCTCATAAAAGGACACTCACAGCATGGCTCCCCACTCCGACACAAGGCTCAGCAACCACAGCTACATTCTGGTTGGTTTTTAACATTTGGTCAGAACTGATGAACAGGCTCAAACAGTTTTACACTATCGAATCTGCTGATCGGCATCAGACTGTTTTATGCCAGAATCGGACAGTTCTAACACAGGGTTTACGAATCCAGAGTACTCGGAATTGCCACTGTCATCCACTTTGGCACTGACGAAGTCGTTCTCCCACTCCAGCCCGTTGGAGTCCTCTGAGGAGGACATGAGGTTATTTCCGGTCTACCTGCTGCCGGACGTCAGAGCGGCCCGAAGGATGTCCTCCTCTGTCTTGGAGCGTTCCCGCACAGGAAGCATTCTGTTCATCCCTTCCTCATCTTCCCACTCCAGGTCTAAGGACGTGTTGTCGTCATTTCCACTGGTGGATCTTGTCTTGGTCATTAAGTCACAGTTGCTTTCTGTATTTGGTGTCAGCACTGTGGCATCTGAAGAGAGTCTACTACTTCGAAAAACTTCATACTGTGATTTTATATTTCTCATACAAGATTCAAAGTCATCTTCTGGTCCTGAGCTCGAATGGTCACCATTGCTGGGGTGATGATACTGATGCACAACTCTCCGCCTTCCTTGCTCCGTGAGCTTTCTCTGCTTTGTTGCCCTGGCTGCTTCACGCTGTGCAGCGTATAAAGCTTCTTCCTCTAGTCTTAGTGTCTCTTCTTGTAAGGCTCTTTCTGGATTTTCTTATCAAGATCTTTCTGTTTTTCAGCAATAGAATCGTAATGCCTCTCTCGTAGATCAACAATTTCTTCTGTAAGAGGTACTATCAAGGTTTTAGTTGACAAAACTCTTTTTTATTTATTTATATATTTTTTTCAAAAATCTTTTGATTAGTAGAACAAGTTTTAGAACGTTATCAGGAGGAAAGGGAGGATAAAGTTGAAAAACTATGACTGCTTCCTGGGCTCTCTCCTTCATCACTTTCTACTAGATTCTCAAACTCTCCTCAAGTGCTCACCCCTTGAGCATGTTATAAAGTACTTGGATCCTCCGCCACCCGCGCGCTGCAGCCGCCCCGCTTCCTTGCGGAGCATCCCGCAGCACTGCGTCCAGCCGCAGTTCCCCATCGCATGCCGCCCGGCACCGCCGCCTCTGCTCGGAGCCCAAGTGTAGGCCCCCAGCGGCATGGACCGGGCGCCGGCAAAGGCAGCGGTACTCCAGCGGCCGCCGCTCAAGGGACTTGCGCCGGGCCGCGGGGCTGGGCCTTCGCCGCCATCTGCATGGGCAACCTGAGCCGCCCGGGTCCCGCGCGCTATTTTGTTCTTTTTAAACGTCATAAACTTGAAAGAATAGCTTTCTTCATTTTCAGACATTAAAAATATATACTTTAATACTATTAATTTCCTTTGAAGTATTCCTTTATAGCTTACATTTTGAATTTCTTTTCAATCCATAAGGTCTTAGGCTGTATGTTAGTGTTTACAAACATGTATGTTGATCTTTATTTGTAGTTCCATATTTGTCAATGCACTTACTTTCAAAAATTTCTTTGTGGGGGCCAGGAATTTAGCTCAGTGGCACTGCACCTGCCTTGAAACCACAAGGTCCTGAGTTCGATTCTTAGTACCGAAAAAAAATGTATTTTGGGGCTAGGGATGTAGCTCAGTGCTACAGCACTTGCCTAGCATGTACCAGGCCCTACGTTCCATCCCCAGCACCTTACAAATACACACACACACACACAATTAGCATGGTGGTGTACATCTGTCACCCCAGCACTCTGGGAGGCTAAGCCAGAAGGTTTCCAAGCTTGAGCCCAGCTTGAGCAATTTAGCAACTTAGTGAAACACTATCTCAAAATTTAAAAATAAAAAATGGCTGGGGATATAGCTCAGTGCAAAAGCCCTGGTTTCAGCCCCAGTATTGTAAAATAATAATAATAATAATAATTTTAAAAATAATTATAGTAATTATTATTATTCTAAAAATTAATTTGTTATTCCAAGATCAATATTAGCTTTGCATTTTTGGTCATTCACAGGCATGTGCACTCACAAGGCAGTGAAAAATTTGACCCACCTGTTATACACATGCATGTTTCCAGGGGAGATTTAACAAGGCAGCACTGCCTTTTAGTTTCAGCTCTCACAAAAAACATCCTTTTTGTGGTATATTTAGTGCCACATTTTTTCTCATTAGCACATTTTTTGTGATTTTGCTGTTTTAAATGGGCGAACTGTGATGCTGAAGCTGATTAGTGTCTCCAAGCACAAGACACTATCATGTGCCTTATGGAGAAAACATGTGTATTAGGTAAACTTCATTCGGGCATGAGGTACAGCACCATAGCCAAAAGTGCAGTCCTAATAAATAAACAGTATATATTAAGTGTCTTTAAACAGAAACACACAGCCAGGGATTTAGCTCAGTGGCACCCCGCCTGCCTTGCAAGTTCAAGGTCCTGAGTTTGATCCCTGGTACCAAAAACAAAAACAAAAAACAGAAACACACATAAGACAGGGTTATGTATTAATGAATTTAGGAAAATGCTGTGACCAGAGGTTCACAAGAACCTAACCCCATATTCCCTAGGAGCAGTGGTCCTAGGTATTCACAAATTCAGAGTTCTCAGTGACTTTATAGACTGTAACTACCACAAATTTGCAAATTAACCGGATATATGTATATATGTAGTTCTCTTGTTGATTTATAATTTAACTGGTTTGTAGTCAGTAAATGTGGTTGTGTTATGCTAATTTTAAAAAATGTATTGAGATTTCCTTAGTGACCTAGATTATAAACTTTATAATCAATTTTTGTAAGTGCTAAATCAACATGTGTACCTTTAAACATGTATTCTCTACTTCTTGAATTCAGGGTTCTAGATAGAGCTAATAGGTCAAGCTTAGTATTTATGTTGGTCAAAACTTTTTTTTTTTTTTTTTGGTACTGGGGATTGAACTCGGGACCTTGCACTTGCAAGGCAGGTGGCAGAACCACTGAGCTAAAAATCCTCAGCCCTGCTCAAAACTTTTATATCTTCACTAATTTTTAAACTTTTTGGCTTATTACTTTCTGATACAACTCGGGCTGGGGATTTAGCACAGTGGTTCCACTGCCTGCCTCGCAACCACAAGGAGCCAAGTTCGATCCCCGGTACCAAAAAACAAAAACAAAAACAAAAAACTGTCTGATACAACTATGGAAAGATCTCCCATCCTACACCTGGATTTGTCCATTTACTTCTTGTTTCACCTCTCACACTGGAAAAGTGCCAGTGTGGTACATTTACTGCCACATTTTTCTCATTATCAGCTTTTTGTCAATTTTTGCTTTATTTGCTTTTCGGTAGATAAAAGATCAAAGCTATTCCTTTTGTTATTCTGTAGTGTATCTCTTTAGGTTAGTCTCTGAATGGTTTATCTCTTTTTTCTTTAATCCTTTTATTTCTAGCTTTCTATTGTGATTTTTAGTTGTTTCTATATGCTCCATATAGTTGGATTTTTTAAATCCTGCTATGAAATATCTGATAGTGGACATAT